AGTTCCATCAACACGCGGATTTTTTTTTGGATTTTTTTTAATCCGGTTGGGAACTGCGCGGTACCGGGATTTGAACCACGGACCTCTTGCATGCGAGGCGGATGCTCTAACCACTACGCCATCGCCGCAAGAAGGTGTATATTTCGTAGCAAAAGAAAAGATGCTTTGCCTGTCGCATACGTCGGGAAATCCTTTCCACCAGTCACTTGTCCACGTACCACGACCCATAGTAGGTAGGTATCTGCCACAGTTTATTCACCTTCGCCGTGTGTATCAACCCAAGGACAACGAGAACAGACTGGAAATGTTAATGCGGGAGCATGAAGGAGACCGTGTCGCAAAAAATCCGGCGTCGCTGGGGTTCTCGATCCCCAGAAAACAGCGCTGTGAGCAAAGAATACACACTTTAAAAAGTTTTGTGTAGGAACTGCGCAGTTACCTCCGAAAAGGCCTTTTTGCTCCTCCTAAAGACGGAATGCGTGCTGAAGATTTCGCACGGCACGGCGCGGAGGGGCACTTTTCTCTTTGTGGTGTAAAGTGCCGGTTTTTTGGAGTAACTGCAGGAATAGTCCCGCCATGTGCAAATGACCCATCGGTGCCTAAACAAGCTCGTTTCCTTTCTGACGGTTTCGTAGCGTGGTGTGGTGTAGTGGTTAGTGTACGCGCATGCTGACTGAGCGGTCGTGAGTTTGAATTCCGTGTGTTTATTTAATTCTGAATGCGATGCTTGCATATCTATTGTATATCTAATAAAATGCCACCACGCACTTCAAAAGGCTTGTTAAGCCAACCAAAACCTGATTTTTCTTTTGCCAATTGTTGCTCCTTTGAGGAGTAATCATGAGAGTGTGGTTACTCCTTCGCAGTTGCTACCAAAATGTTTCAATAGGTGTGGCAAGTTAGTTATTCTTCTGAAAGGGCAACCTCAATACCCTTTTTCCTCCTTTACTTCTTAGAGAACAATTCGGGCCTCCAGCTGCACTCGAAAACCTCCTGCATGACAGACACGCTTTCTATGACAATGCTACGCCAGTGATACAAGCTGCTGCAGAGAAAACACCCTGCAAAAGCGTCATATCGGGCATTGAGAAAATGTTATTGAAATATATGCTATCAGTTTTCATGGCACATAATGAACATTGTATATTCTGAACTATGACACCGCAAGTATTTGTCCAGTGTTGATTGAGCATGTGAACGGCTGCTGCTTATACGCTCATTATGCTACCGTTGAGTTTAGTTTATCGCAATAAAAGTTTGAAAGCAATTTGTGTAGCGCGAGGCGAAAAAACGAACACAGGAAGAATAGACTGAGAAGACAGAGCGCTCTGTCTTCTCAGTCTATTCTTCCTGTGTTCGTTTTTTCGCCTCGCGCTACACAAATTGCATTCAAATGTTTAACCAACAAGCCCACATCGCCACTCTTGGCAATAAAAGTGACGCTTCTGTTCCAAAGTCAGCGTCGACGCTGCATCGGACAATGAGGTTACACGTCGGTGTAATTGTCGTGCCCCGAAATTCGGTTATACGCTCGTCTGTGGTCCACTACTCTTTTTACGCGAAGGCTTCAATCAACCTCGTAACGCCTGCCTCGAATTAAACTAGTTATTCAGGTTTAACTAAGTAAACCAGCTGTTATCATGGGCGAAACGTATGTTTGTTTTGGATTTGAAAAGGCTGCGCACACAGGTGACAGCTGCAGTAGCTTTTAAATTTACACAAGTTCAGCTTGGTAAACTACCCTTTACTCTGGCATGACGATAGTTATAGCGCGAGAACGAAACGACGATACAGAGACAAGAAGGACACTTCTGTGTCGTCGTTTTTTTCTCGCGCTATAATTATCGTCATGCCTTACGAACTAGCCCAAGCTGCTACACTTTTAATTTACTCTGGCTTTGTAATCGTGCGCAGGTTTTAAGAGAACATTAGTAAAGCTAGACACGCGCTTGACAACCAAAACTAGGCCTCCTATAAACTATTTTAGAGGTTTGTTTACGTGCCGCCATATTGGGCTGTTTATCTTGTTTTTAGCAACTTTAACACCTAAACGGGCAGTGTTACGGTAGATGGTTACGTATAAAAAGGGTTGGGTTGGTGCATACGATGTTTCGTGGCCCTATTAACTCATTTTTCAATAAACAAAAACAAGAAAACATCAGCAGCTCAAGGTGGCGGCCCTCATGTCTCAGAAAAAACAGTCTATAGCTCGTTTCGGTCTTCCGTTCATCGGCTTGTGCCTCCAATTTACCAAATGCTCCTGCTTCTGTGCGCGGAGAAAGGGCAGGCAGCCCTACGGCCGGTAGGAATGAGTGGCTATGCACAAGAGAAATCACGCGATCGTCTCTTGGGGCATCATCATCGGTAGTGACGTGGCACCCCAAAAACGAGGCTTTGAGCGAGAGCAGCGGCGATGCCTCTTCACAGCAATTGACGTGGAATGCAACTCCTGTCACGCGTTTCAGTGGTTGGAGCAAAGGCGCCAGTTAAACAAACGAAATGCATGCTATGGTGGGATAATGTATGAGCGTGAACATGGCTCAGGGTGGTTGCGCAAGGCGCCTCAATGACAGTGTTCCTTCATACGTGATGTTTGGTCATTATCTCACAGCACGATCGCTCCTTTTTTTTTTTTTGAGCACATATGGTGGCGACATGAGTGTGTTAGTGCCGCCACCCTGTGAGAAGGAACGCTTTCATTAGGACACCTAAGACGATCATGATTTGACCCAAAATTGCAATATTACGCAAAGTGATAGCTAAACTGGTAGTGGCCTGGAGCATGGTGCTCCACGACGTACGAAGGAACGGTGGAATTGACGCATACTATAGCTTCGCATCGTGGAGTGCCATGCAGTCAGTGCGGCAGCACATGTCAATTGGGGCTCGCGGAGAGACCCACGTAATAAACTTCATAGCCACGGTACCGGTCTTGCATGGCTAGAGTACAGAAAGAGCCGCGCGCCGTGTTCGCCGGCGCCATAGTTGCCGATATGGCGGGCGCGCGGCTTGTTTCACGCTTTAATCAAAACTCGCGCTTATTTTAATATGTAGGGTCAAGGTTTACTTGGTCAATGCCGGGGCGTATATATTCTGAAAAAGGGTTTTATTATTGTTACCTTTTTTTGCTGTACATGTGTGCCGCCCATATTAGAGCACTTATATTTATTATATTTAGATGCCTGTGCAAGAGCTTGGAATACCTATCAAACTGGGCACTCATTATCAGCAATCGTCATGCTCTGTCCTCACGATGTCATGACGCCAGCAAGTATACCGCGAAAGCCGCGGTAGCATAGCGCACAACGCTTCGCCGATGTATAAATGATCGCCTAAGAGAGAATGCGCTGTCAATAAATAGTGGCACGTGTTCTCGTTTGCCGAGAGAAAAGTGCTCGTATGAACTATTCCGGAACAGCACGAGTACCTTACGAAGACGCAGAGACAAAGTCGCACGTGAACTGGCATTGGCGATGTACACTAAGAATTTTGGTGAACAATGCATCAATGTCCCATTCTTGTCTGTATTTCATGAGTTCGCTTTTGTATCTGATAGGTTGTGATGAGAGTTGTTTGTGCTTTTTGTTCGTTTGTAGAATGTGTGGGTGTTTTAGAAGATCCACTTCGTTTTAATAAGAGCCAGATGCAAGTGTGTGCTTTTCCTTGCTCTTTTTTCGTCTTCTTTCACGTTTTGCATCAACGATATTTTACACAGCTTTACACAAAGTAGCCCGACAGCATACTTAAATGAGAATAATGGACAGCAACTGCCAAAGTGTCTGATTCGCGAGAAACAATGCGTGCTCTAATTAAAAATGCATATATCAGTGCGTGTTGCCAATGGCAATGGTTGCCGGAAGTTGCCACAGGCAGCATGAAATACCACACACAGCTTGCTCAATAATCTTGAACGAGCGTATGGCGCGTAGCTGCGATCCAGGACAATAACCTTGCAGAATGCAGTGACAGCAGTACAATTGAAAAATAAATTGAAATTGTGGCCAATGAAAATTGTTGTTATCGCTTTTTCTCGTCAGAAGCATACACATTTAACAATGCGCCGATAAGGTGAGGTCGCTACACAGTTTGATGTCATGCGCTAAGAGGTTGTCTGAATTTACTAACGCCAACCACTGTCATATGGATGCATCACTATCAATTGAATTCAAATCAGCGTACGGTTTTTAGGAATGCTTTACGCTGGGTAAAACAAATATGCGGTGTTCTCTTTCAATTTTAGTCCAAAATCGGTGCCTCCGTACCTAAGGGCGCGTTATTTCTACAGTTAGAGCCACAAATTTCTAACGGAACAATTTCCGGGGGCCCTGACAGCGGAGCTCAATCGTCAGTCGTCATCCACTAGTATGAAAAAGTATACTTTGTAAGCGCAAATGCGTAGTTCTTAGGGCGACAATACGACTAGTACAATTGACAGACCTCCGTTTTTCTCTCAATTGCCAGTAGCCTTCATTCATTCAAATTACTAGCGTAGCGTACAGCATCTAGGTGCTTATATCTCTGCACGCCTAGCAGCCCTTTTTACTCCTTAAACTTGTTGGATAAATCTAACTAGCCTTCTTCTTTCTGTGCACTACGCCTATTGTCTGTGCGATTGTCCAGTTTGAACAGTCTTTCAGCTCAGGCAAACCTTTCCTAATAAAATGCTACAAACGAAACATGAATATCACAAGCCGCTTGATTAAAGCGTGATTTTGCTTACATGTTTTATTCAGCGGTTCTTTTCCTCACCTGTTCCAACTCTCTAAGTATATGGAAAAGTAAATTTCATTCGCGAAAACATTGTCATTTCACTGTATCATTACTAGAATGAAGACAATTCAATGTACGTACGTACATGCATAACGAGAGTCCAAAGTGCATTGATAAATGGACATGTAACTCTAGCCAAGCAATTATTTTTTATGGGTACGCCGTGAACATATCCTTAGCGCGCGCACACACACGTTTCCTCGAAGTGATCATTTTATTTTGTCCTGCAGTGGTGGACGCAACGGCTAAATACCCGACTGGGCTCCTGCAAGCATCCACTGCCAATTTGGGAGCTTATGACGAGTGCATAGAAACTGTAGCGAGGGATGAATACGGCATAGAGAAAGCACGTGGACAGTACTGCAACGTGCATCTCTCTATTGGAGAAGACAGCCCCATCATCACCGAGATAATGCCAGCTGTTATGCTCTCTCACAAAAGGGTAAGCCAATCGGTTTCCCTCAATAGTCAGCGTATATCTTGCAGTGAATGCAAGTTAGAAATGTCTTTTCACTGAAGCATGCCTTCTATGCTTGAGCACACCCTAGCTATACAGGGATGTCAGTAACCTCTTACATATATCAGAAATGCAGACAGGGGCCTGCTATATTCAAGATTCCCAGCTACGTTCTATTTTACCGACAACATATAGACGTCATCCAGGAGATGTAAACTAGGGAGAACAGATCAACCGCGTAGGTAAAGTCGAAAAAAGAAAAAAATAAGGAATAAATCACTGGACTATGTTAAGGCTCCTGATTATCTTTTCCTTCTTGGTGTATATACTTACAAAAAGATACACGAAGCTATTTTCCTGATATACTGAGATTCATGCCGCCGTTGGTATATAGTACTTGAATGTACTGTCAATAACTATACTTTCCATGGCCTATCAAGCCGAGCTCTTCAACCTTTGCGAACAGGAGCTTCTAATGTATCCTCTCCAGGCTTGTGACTGGAAAGGACTCAGATCCAGTGGCAAAACAGTATCATGTGCAGTGGACGCCTTTACACCCTGCGCTTTTGGTCACCTTCATACTTGCCTACCATGAATCGTACTAGCTCTAAAGAAGAACTAGTCAGTTATGCAAGCTCGGCACCCACATCATCAGCGCTAAGCGTGAGAGGCTCGAGCATGAGAAGCTCGGGCAGGCCTACGCTACTGCAGTGTCTGAAATAACAGTTTCACTTGTCAGGCTGTCTTAGTTCTTTATTATATAGCACATAAAAAGCCCGGAAGAATGCGCCCGGGAAAGAAAGCGCGGCGATTGCGGCACTCCGCTTACGGGGAAGATTCGAATGAATTTAGTCTAGCGTGTAATATAGAACGTGTCATGGCTACACGACAGTTTTCGCAGTCTGCCTCCGTCGGAACAAGGCCGCATAAGCTATGATCACACTAATGGCCCAATTAAAATTGTACAGCGACGGTACTAATCTAGTGCGAGAGAATCGACAGAAGAGTGCATTTTTCCGCTTTCCCTGATTCAACTTGAACCATTTCCAATTATTTGTGAAAAATCATTGGGGAGTAACAGAAGGAAATTCCTGTATCGTTTTGTGATTTTTATTATAGGGAAAAATTAAGCCACACGAAAAGGCAGAAAGCAACGAATAACTATTACATATGTAGCTTTACATGTCAGTGGCCTTGTGAACATTAACACGACCAGCACTCAACTGCAACTCGCCCAGGAAGTACCACTTCTAAAGAAATTTACGCCACAACTTTCTGAGCGTGCGTGGAAGCCCGAAGCAAAAACAATTGGCAAAGCTTCCGTTAAGCAGCGCAATCTTCAAAACAACAAAATTGGAGAATGGCGAAGAGTTATCTGGTTCCTTCTAGGTTCTATCTAAGCCTTCAAGGTGATGCCGGTTGTTTCTAGGAGTCTTCTAGGTTGTGGCTAGGCATTAGCTGTGGGATGCTATTTTGTTTCTGCGTTAATTCTAAGCTCAGAGAGTTGGAGTTAAACTACATACAGGCACAGACACTGCACGGCTACGTCATCGACGGTGTGGGTCTTCCATCGCTTCACGGTCTTGTCGCAGCAGCCGTGACCATTGCTAGTCCCAAGTTGGTTGGTTGGTTGGTTCCTCAAAAACTTGGCGCAACTCACCTAGAGGGATATGGTCTCAATCCACGCACTTGCGGCCCTCTTATTCTTCTTTTCTCATTGCTCTTACAAAATTGAGGGGATTGGTTGAATGTTGGGTAAAACTTTTAAGTGTTTCTTCGCAATACTTCTTGTATAAGCTTAGGAATAGGTGATACCAAAAATTTAATAGATCTTAAGTTCAGCGCCATCGCTTTGCAGCTATTGTATGGGTTGACTGTTGTCCCCTGCATTTTTAGTGGAGGTCGTGTGTAGTAAGACTTACCCAATTTCTGTGTCGCATATCCGTTTATATGGAAGATTGTTTTATGATAGATCATTCAAACTTCTGGGGCACACACCCGTTTGGGGGCTAACTGTGACATTCGTCACTTTTCGTGGGCCTATGGTTAGTAGTGGGATTCAGCAAATCTCTGAGGCACATTGACATTTAAGATGGCGATACTTTTGGGTTGCGACTGAACAAGGAACGCTATACTAAATATCTTCGCTGTTAAAATTGGTCGCCACAGGTGGTTTCCAGCATGACCGCGTGTGGGCCCAACAATGGCACGCATTATAATTTTATTTCAGAGGGTTCTTATGAATGTCTTTATAACCCGACGTCAAGTTCCATCCGGAAGTTGCCCCAGTTGGTTAAGTATTTATTGAAGGAACGCGTCAAGCGAGCTATCATGATACTGTCGCGTGAACATTGATGTAGCTGTTTTTTTTTAACTTTTGGCTCGTTCCAATGTCGGCGGGTCGCCCAAGGGTAGGGTTGTGGTGGTCGCACCGGCTTTGTTGTACGAGCGTTAGCTTCCTTCCTGCAAAAGGTTGTTTCTCATGAAGAGGGTCGCGAACGGCTTTTCACGGTGCCGGATAGTTTGCGGGAGAGCTGCACTGTAGAAGCCTTAACGGACGTCGCGGTAGTTTCCTGTATATGTTTGCTTTTGTTTAGGACAACAGTCTTCGAAGTGAAAGTCGGTGGAGGCCTCCGCGCTGGGATGTACCTGTTTGAATTTGTTCCACCCAGTTTGAGCCATCAGCGGAGACGTTTCTGTGGTGCTTTTCTGTTTTGGTCACCCGGCAGGCTCTCAGGTTAGACGTTGCCTGGGGAGCCGGGAGATGTTGCACAGCGGACGCCGCGGGAGCAGGTTTCAGCCTGTGCTGCTCAAAGTTGTCCCAGTTATGTAGCGCACAAGTGTGTACTACATCAATCAGAATTGTTTTATCCAAATAAATCACCTCAGAAGATTGTCTATGTAGATGCGGTGTGTACGTGTCGTTCCTCTCTTCGGTGGCAACTTGGTCTCCGGCGGCAACCAAGTAGCAACCAGAAGACGACACTACAGAAGGGTAGAGGCTGGCGGGAACGAAGAACCACCATACGGTGATGCCCACCTTGAGGATTCACAACAGCGTGGACGACGTTGCGAGAATGGCTCACCTTAGAACTGCGGCCACCTTGAAACCCTTCATCTGGCCCCTGATGTTCAAAGGTACACCTGAGGAATACGTATTGGAGTGGGTCACCTGCTACGAACATGTATCTTCACTCGACTCATGGGATTACAATACAAAGGTGAATTTCGTTATTTAGCTTTGGAGGGAGACGCAAAAAAATGGTACACTATGAAAAATATGACCGGCGCTCCTAAAATGTGGGAAGAGTGAACCACGTTACTTAAGTTTAGCTTCCCTGGCCGCCACGCAGCAGGGATAGCCCGCCTGAAACTAGAGAATCGAGTACAAGTGCCGTCTGAGAGCCCGGAGCAGTATTATTACGAGGTACAGGAGCTCTGCACCCTCGTAGACCCAGTCATGAAAGAGGAGTTCCGCGTACGTCATCTCTTGGGTGGACTCCGTGCCAATGCCTTAGAAAAAATGATCCTCGGGAAGCCGACAGATTCGGGAGAATTTTTACAAATTCTGCAGCGGATAAACTATGCCGCATTGATGGCCCATGCCCACTTCACTCCTCTAAACAGCTACCTCCCAACCAACGTCACGCAGTCGTGGTCGGCGGCCACTCCTGGAGAATCAATCACGACACAGGCTTCCCTGGTGAGCGCCCCCATTCGCGAGAAGTGCCAGGACGCTGTGCAAACAGGCATTTCCGACGCCCAACATGACAGACGCGACGCTGCGAGCAATCTGGAATTGAAGGCCCTCACCGAGTTGATCAAGTCACTTGCCAACAGGTTGAAGGCTGTACAGAACGAGGTTTGCCGGCCACCTGCCCAGGGGCTTCCCACAACATCCTGTGGCAGCGATGGGCGCCCCCGGGGCTACTACTGCCATCGCCTCGGCCACATCGCACGACAGTGTCACAGACAGTGCGAGGACCAGCAGCGACAGAGAAGGTACGAACAAAGTATGGGGGAAGCGGAAATACATTTCGAATTCGGCATCATGCAAATAAATCCGAAATTTCTAATTATCAAGAAATACCCTTACGAGCTGCTAATTGGGCCCCCATTTTACCGAGCAGCTCAGTTAGTTATGATTGTTTCTGTGTAGAAATTACAGATTGAGGGACAGCCATTTGACCTTCAAGTAGGGTGAGTGTCATACACGGTGCTGCCCCGGAGAGATGCCAAGAGGAGATACGCCTAGAACCACGAACCTACGCAGTTGGCCGCTTCAGATTCCCATAGACGGTGTCCATATTGTCGAGCCAAATAATAATTTCAGAAACGGGTGTAGTTGTGGCACGAACTGTCACGAATGTGTTGAGTGTTGTCGTCATTGTCCTTGTGGCTTACCCCACTATGTCGGCAGTAACATTGCATTGCGGCACAAAGCTTGGCTGGGCTACGTCTATTTATGATGTGAAGCTCCCCGTCACCGCACCAGACTGCACAGCTTGTAGCGGTGGCTTTGAAGTGGACGTTGGAGACCTACCAAAAGAACTGTGCTGCTCTATCTTGTGAATAACTTCCGCCTTTTTTTACGGGAGAACACAACCCAATTCAATAAACTGACGTGGCAGAGCATGTCTTACACATCAGTGATTTGGCTCCCATTCATCAACATCGCTACCAACATTCCAACGTCAAAAGGGAGATTATTGGCCAGCAGATTGATGAGATGCTTCATGACGAAGATATCAGAGAGTCCAACAGCTTATGGGTAGCTCCTGTGGCTCTGGTAAAAAAGCCAAACGGCGGCTGACGCTTCTGTGTGGATCTTAAAAGGGTGAATGCTGTCACAAAGAGAGACGTGTACCCTTCACTGAGAATCGATGGCATTCTTCATATACTGCAGGGATGCCGTTACTTCACGACATTGAATTTCACATCAAGCTACTAGCATATTGGAATTAGAGAGCAGGATAGGCTCAAGACAGCATTTACATACGGTGGGGCTTCTACGAATTCAACGTCTTCTCATTCGGCCTGTGTAACGCACCCGCCACACTTCAGGGAACGATCAACAAAGTTCTCAATGGCCTGCTCTTGAGGGTGTGTTTCGCCTTCTTGGACGACATTTTGAGTTTCTCCAAGACCATGACAGCCCATTTGAAAGATATATAAAGCATACTTACGGCTTTGGAAACTGCGAGCGTACGACTGGAGCCTGAAAAATGCAGTTTCGCATGTATCTCGGACACATTCATATGGACGAAAATATCCGACCATTTCCCGACAAAGTGGCAGAGATTGAAAAATTCCCCAAGCCACGAAATTTGAAATGTGTGCAGAGTTTTCTTGGAATCTGCAACTACTATAGGCAATTCATTAGGGATTTTTCGAGTATTCCTCAACCTCTGAACAACCTGACCATTAGAGATGCTCTTTCACCTGGAATGTGGCGTGCGAAGTAGCAATGCAATCCCTCAAGGAGCAGCTCATCACTGCCCCCGGTCTGCGTCAGTTTGAGCCGGGATGGCTAATAGAGGTGCACACGGACACTTGCGATTACGGCATTGGAGACGCCCTCGTTCAGAAAATTGCTGCCCAGGAAAGAGTCATCGCGTATGCTACCCGTCACCTTAACAAAGCTGAGATGATTTACAGCACCACTGAGAAGGCATGTCTCGCCGTCGTGTACACCGGTGCACAGTTTCGGGCGTACGTTTTCGCGACTGATTTCACAGTCGGGACCAACCATGCTAGCCTGGCTTACCTTATGAACGTCCTGAATCTGAATGGTCGTCTCATGCGGTGGCCTTTGTTGCTACAGGACATTAACATAATGCTGAGGCACCGCCCAGGTGGGAAAAACGGAAATGCCGATACTCTTTCTCACATTCCTCAAGATCCCGCTCCAGCATGCGAAGAAAACCAATTACCGTTGCTGGCTCTTGGTCGAGTGGATGTAGGAGAACGGAAGAGGAGATATCCATGGATGAGAGAGATTCCCCAGCACGTCGAGTGGCCAAACGCGCCCGTTGTCAGAAAAACTAAAAGAACAGCGCGGAGTTTTCAGTTGATCGATGGCGTTCTGTATCGAAGGGCAATGGTGTTTCAGGAAGACCGCGTGGCCCTTGTTGTCCCCAGGTGTTTGAGACGGGACATCCTAAAGCACTGCCATGACGACACCACGGTGGCCCACAGTGGAGTCAAGCGCACGAGGAAAAAAGTACGCTGCAGGTATTTCTGGCCAAATATGTTCGCATAGGTGGGCAAGTATGTCCTGACCTGTCCAGACTGCAAGATGAGAAAGCCACCACCAGGCTAATCAATCGGATTTCTCCAACATATACCTTCAGCAAGGCGGCCATTCGAGCAAATCTGGATAGATTTTCTTGGACCCTTCGTGGAAAGTAAATGAAACAATCACCACATATTTGTGATGACTTACTACCTCACAAAGCGGGTAGAAGCCGTTGCCTGCCCCACTGAAACGACCGCTGAGGCAGCCCAGGCTTTTGTCGAGCATATTATACTACGACATGGAGTTCCGGCGAAGATAATCACTAACCGGGGAAAACATTTTGTTAGTAACTTCATTTAAAAGATATTCCCAGTAATGGGGAGCAACCACGTCACAACCACCGCCTACCACCCGCAGACGAATAGCCTGTGCGAGAAGTTCAACCGTACGCTTGCATACATGCTCAGTGTGAATGTCTCTATGAATCCCCGGAATTGGGATGAATTCCTTCCTTATGTTGTCTTCGGTTGCAACTGTTCACAACAAGAGACAACCGGCTTCACCCCATTTTTCTTGTTGCATGGCCACAAACCGAATTTACCCATTGACGAGAGCCTTAACCTACAACGTGACAATATGCAGTGGCGCACAAGCTTCGCCAAGCTCGGGAGCACGTGGCTCAGCGCGAAAGAGACCAGCAAACAAAAAAGAAGAAAGCGTACGATGCCCGACAACGGGGTGCGTTTGTTTCAACCGGGCCAATTCGTCTACGTGTGGACGCCCTCACGAGCGAGGAGCAAAACAACAAAGCTCCTGCATCGCTACCATTGACCAACTCGCCTCCTCCAACAAGTCGCGGAGAACAACTGGGAGGTCGTAGACCACAGTGGAAGGAAGAGTGACGTTGTGAACGTTGCACGTCTGAGACTGTGTCACACCCGTTCATGTCTCGACGACGATGCGGATGACGAGAGTGAAAGTGCACGCGAGTGTTCAGTGCGTGTTGACACCACAGTGCCGCACGATGGTGGAGCAGTTACACCCACGAGTGACCACGGTCAAAGTGAACGTTGGACAAGTGACACCGAGGTCTACTTTGATCCCCGGACACAATATTGGGACTAGTCGGCCGACACCAAACCAAAAAGACTCTGTGCCTGTGACAGTGACACCGAGATCTACTATACAACCGGTGATGTTGAGTGAGTGAGTGGGTTGTAGGACTGCTTTTTGAACTCCTTGTCGTGCAGTGTGTGCTTTCGTACTGAGATGTGTGTCGCAACTCTAGTTAGCAGTTGATGTTTTCCTTGTTTCACTGTTTTAAATAACTTTCATATTGAGCAGGCATATTTCTCCATCTTGTATTAGTGCTTCAGTGTCTTGCAGATGTAATATGTTTTGTACATTTATTTGGTCGCGGGTCGCCCTTTTAGCATGTTATAGTGATGTCTTTTAATTTATGTGTTTTCTTTTGAAAGAACGTGAAATGTTTGTTTTTCTTTTTTGGGAAGGCGCAAAGCACATTATTACCTCGTGTGTGGCTTTTTAGTTCACTAATAAAAATAGGGGACACTATTACTTTGTATAGGGGAGGGGTCGCGTAAACGTTAATATAGATATTTTCTGTTAACTTTTATCTCGCTCCAATGTCGCACGGTCGCCCAAGAGTAGGGTTGTGGTGGTCGCAGCGGCTTTGTTGTGCGAGCGTGAGCTTCCTCTTCCTGTGAAAGGTTGTTTCTCAAAAAGAGGGTCGCGAACAGTTTTTCGCGGCACCGAATAGTCTCCGGTGGAGCTGCACTTTGGAAGCCTAAACGGACGTTGCGGTAGTTTTTCGTGTGTTTACTTTAGTTTAGGACAGCAGTCCTCGAGGTGAAACTCGGTGCAGACCCACGCGCTTGGATGTACCTGTTTGAATAAGTTCCACCTGATTTGAGTCGTCAGTGTAGACGTTTGTGTGGTGCTTTCAGGTTTTGGTCTCCGGGTGGGCTCTCGGGATGTGGCCAGGGGAGCCGGGGGGAGTTGCACAGTAGACGCTGCGAGAGCAGGTTGCAGCGCGTGCTGCGCAGAGTTCTCCCAGTCATGTAGTGTACAAGTGTGTACAACGCCAATCATAGGTGTTTCATCCCAATAATTCAGTTGAGGAGAAAGTCTATAGAGATGCTGTGTGTACGTGTCGATCCTCTCTCCGGCGGCGACCAGGTAGCGACCAGAACAATACGTTACGTATAGGACGGACAGACAGACAGACAGACAGACAGACAGACAGACAGACAGACAGACAGACAGATAGACAGACAGATAGACAGACAGATAGATAGATAGATAGATAGATAGATAGATAGATAGATAGATAGATAGATAGATAGATAGATAGATAGATAGATAGATAGATAGAAGATAGATAGATAGATAGATAGATAGATAGATAGATAGATAGATAGATAGATAGATAGATAGATAGATAGATAGACTGTTTACCTGCATTAAACTTTTGATACTTTTACCTTGATTAGGGCATTTATACTTCATACTTAAGAGAACTTTCCCATAGTTCATCGCACGAGCTAATTTATTTGCGATGAATATATTAGAAGTCTTGCGACATTGCCTAGGAGAATAAAAACCGGTCTCATTGAATTTTCATTTGTTATTTCTTAATTTATTTTTTTCAGCTTTTTTACACATTCTCAATATCAGTACTTGTAAGGGCGCTCTACAGTGAACTGCTTGCATGATACGCGCGGCTTCTTCGGGTTTATGGATATCATAAGAAAACATTGCAACTAAAAAATGGCACAGGATTACTCTGGACAACACGAGCGCTGCCCGCGATGTAAAATCTGAGCGAAATGACGAAAGATTTATCAGTTTATTCCTTTCTATAATTTTTTGAGGTGGGCCTGTCAACTTTCTTCTTGTTGTAGATGCCGTAGAAAACTTTTGTTATGATTGTGCGCAGACAATAAACTTCACGGAGTACATGACTGACGAAAGACTGCCTGGGCTACGTCTTGGGATATGCTTCATCGCTGCCTGCAGCGAGCAAGACCTTTCTAACATCGGTCACAGCTGTGAGTGTTATAACCCGCTTATTGTATTATCACAAGCGTTGTTTATTTCTTCGCGTTTTTTTCTGCAGAACCGTTGGACTCAAAAGTGATTATTCCTAATTAGTTTTTCCGTTTATACATGGGTAATTTTTGTCGGTGCTTTTTGCACTTCATTTTGTAGGGAACCCTTACACGATGTCTTAGGGGCTCCAAGTATAGTTACTGCCACAGAAAGAAGCTTACTCAAAGAAAACAGCTAAAGCCTTCCTAAAACACTTCTTACTGGACACCGTACTAGATAAGCGCTTCTGATATACAGCTCGGGGTTGTGATATACAAGATGATGTGTGAGCACATATACTGTGAGTAGAAATATTAAGGCGTGCGTGTAAAAGTTTTTGTGTAATCTGAACCGCTTTAAGAAAACGGCACATGGTAATATTATTTCAATGCTTCTAAGTGTGCTATTATGCATTTTTTGCTGATTGGTCATTTTAGGTACAACTCGTTATTTTTTTTTTCGCTGCCGGACTTATCGATATCAAGTAGCATAGGTAATATAGAGCTTAACCTTACGAAAGCAAAACATTCATATCAGAAATGAACATAAAAGAAATCATGACGTGCAGAACTGGTCTGAAATATCAGAAAACTTGCTTAAATATGCTTTTCTTCACTATTTATTTTGCATGAGCGATGTTATAAATGTCACGAGTCTACGAGTGTGCAGACTCGTGATATGTGTTTCTTTCTCTGTGTGGTTGTTCATTCGGTATGACTTTGACTATATAATCAATACATGCACGAACTTGCCCAACCACGAGTTCTACTAAAGTATGTTTCCAATGTGAACTACTGTGTGCTTAAGCAAGTAACTTTTATTGGCTCAGTCAGTTTAGGTTAAAGGCTACAGAAATTCATCAAATGCCTAGGATTATTTCTTGGGCACTGCAATCCAAATAATAAAGTTAGTTTTTGTATCTAATATGTGCTTAAAAAGCAGATATGCATCGATATTTGTGGGCGCAGCCCGAAGCATGAAAATAATATCGTGCAGCTCACCCTAAGTCACGCACAGCACAGCTTCTGGGCACGTAGATGGTACTGGTTCGGCTACGTTTTCAATCTCACCTTTCCTGTTTCCACGCATTAGCAAATGCTATACCATACATGGGTGTGCTTGCCGTCTCTTTTTTTTTTCTTTGTATAGTTGCTTTCTTTCTAGTATTGTTTCCTTTCTCACTATCTTTATCTTTCGCTTTCTTTTCTACACTTCTTTCTTTCTCCTTCTCTGTTTCTGTCCCTGTCTTTATTTCTGCCTTTTTGTCTTTTCTACGCTTTTTTGTCTCTTTCCTTCTCTTTGCTTTTATCTCTCCCTATGTCATATAATGGTACTTTTTACTCAACCCACCTTTTTCTGTCCACCTCACCTTCGCTTTTCTCCACCTCACGCTCAGTTCGTTTGCACCCCCGTGCTCTATAAACTATAGTATACAAATAAGTGCAATATTCTGCTTGCATGCCTTCTATATGGGAAATACACGCTAACAGGCTTCGCAACCACTCGGCACGATAGCCGAGTGGCTACTACGCTGGCCTTCGAATCATGGGCACCTGGATTCAAACTTTCGCCTCGCCAAGAATTTTCCTCTATCTTTCTATGCGCACACGTTCTCTTGCCCATCAGTTGTATCGCATCGCACGCATGAGAAATCGGCGAGCTTATTCTGAAAACGAAGATAAAGAAATTATAATTATCAATATGTGACACGTGGCCCAGCTTGAGCTTAACAGCTATGCTGAAAAAAAAATGCTGCACGTGCATGCTGAAAGTAAAAGCATTCTTTTTAAAGGTGGTTTTGAAAAGAACTAATCGAACATAGGTCTAGCGAATACGATACAGAGATATCGCCCCTTTCCCGCCCTAAGGTGCACAAAAAAGTGCGACTCTCGCGTTTTATGCGATGATACGACCAGTTCACCACTCGCCCTACTGCAGCGATGAACTCCGCATCAGTTTTACCCAACTGGCTTTAACGCTTATATTGCAAAAGGCACAAGAGGTACTCTGAATTTCGTCCCTGCCGAAGTTTGGCCGCAGCCGACATCAAGTGCGTGTCCTGGTCGATGACATTTAGATGTAAGTGAACGAATGCGACGCAGCTGAAATTAATTGTTGTTGTTTATAAATAAGGAGTTTTCCATAAGTATATAGTGGTTTTGGCAACTAAAGCTTTTGAACTGGTTATAAAAAATTATAATTGACGATGGCCCACTTTAGAGAGGTGCAGCGCGAAATTCTATGAGGGTTGTTTGTAACCCAATTTTGTAAGAGGAGGGTTGTTCCTATCTTTGCATTTCGCCCACTTACTCTCGCTTGTCTCGAATTCGCTGCCAATGAGAATGCAGGTCTGCAAGCAAGTGTTTATACGACATGATATTCTCATTGAACAAGCCACTGAGGTAACTTAGCCTGTAAAGTTCCACGTTCAGAAACTTGAGGGCGCACGTGACATTCTCGGCTAATACAGGGGAATATCGATGGGGGTTAAATACAAGGAATACTTGTATGCTTATTATAAGGCACACGTTTAACTTCAGGCAGTATAAATTTGCAAGAAACACTCTTCTACGGCATGCATCATAATGTGGCCGCACTTTTGAAATGAAGAACCACAAAAATGATTATTATTGGTAACAATATTATTAATATTATTACCCTGACCAAAAAAAAGTATGAAAACGATGTAAAGGTAAATTAGGCTTGACAGTAACTCTCATATATCGCTCGTTCTGATAATAAGAATAAAAAGAGAAGTGCATTCTTGCTGGCTTCTACCAGAAAGTATACAGCTGATTTGAAGAAGCCATCTTTGATTCATTCAACAAAGGATAGGCTACGGCTAGTCTGAAGAAAAAAACAGTGAATATTGTGCGACATAATGCGCTGTTTACAGAGTGCACGTATGTTAAACCTAGTTGTGTCTCCTCATGTGAGATTGGCCTGCAGACAAGAGACGTTCATATTGACCGGCAGTTATAAAATTATTTATCATAAAAATAATAAATATTAAGGCTATCTCGGTATTTTTACACATCGTGCAAAAATTGAATAAATTAAAATTCAACAGGTCCGACATACCTTGGACTTGAGGTTATGACAAGCCTGCGTGGGCAAGGTGATCCTGTTTAACTTTTTTTATTAAGCAAGACGTTATAAAATAACGCTAAATGTGTACATATGTTGGACACACAGAAAAATGTTGAAGCGTTGCAGATGTTTATATAACGTTGCTTGCACTTGCGCAACGATGCCAACAGTAACAGAAGTACTAGCAACACCAACAGCGATAAAGGTATTAAGTGCTGGTCCTCGCGAAGTTGGTAGCCCTGGACGCTGCTACATAACTCAAATTCAGCGCATGGCACCAAACTACAAGTGGCGTCACGGCTGTATCGTAGTACTGCATATGTAATGCTTTTAAAATTAGTTATCCAGCACTGCAATCACAATTGATGGTTCACGAACATACATTAGGGTTGATTTTAAAAGTAGTTCCTAGACCTGGCGTGTCTCTATGGTATGAAGTTTCATTGACACGAGAAATGCTTGGGTTTTACTGTTGGTGGGACCCGGACATATATTCTTTGCATTCATTGGGTCAACGCTGCGGATGTCAAGTTTGTGTTGACGCTCACGCTCTAAAACTGTCCATGCGTGTTTTGTGGGTAGTTAATAAGTGTCAATCACCTGTGGCACATACCCGCCCTGGTGTGAGTATTACTGTCTTGCGGTAAGTGTACGATGAAGTACGCAACCGTATTCTGACATTAGTTATGTCTTGACCAGTGCGTCATATTTGTCAAATCAGTTAACCCTCCCGTACTAATTTTGGTTCACGGCAAGCTAAGGGGGTGATCACGAGGGCACCCAGACGTAAGCGGCTATACAGATAGATAGATAGATAGATAGATAGATAGATAGATAGATAGATAGATAGATAGATAGATAGATAGATAGATAGATAGATAGATAGATAGATAGATAGATAGATAGATAGGCCAATAGTCCTTGCATTACGCAAAGAAATGCTTCGTATTTTAAATGAACCCCCAAAAATTAAAACCACAGTGAGTGATATTCAAAAATTACGTAATCACTTTTGCTCTGCGTGGTGTGCAAACAGTCTAGAAATTTCATTGTATCAATAAGGTGTTTTCACACCTTTTGTGGTTTTGGATAACACGCAAGCTTTGGAGGCGTAGCCTCAGAGTGTTTCATCCTCCATGTATTCATATTGGCGCATCAGGGATTTCTACCTAACAGCAGTTCAGCAGTTTTAAGTTATACTGAATACAATGCAAAAGCCAAAAGGTTTTGTGTGTCAATGCTCATCGCCAGCCTCCAATGATCTTGTTTATCATGTGCGTGCAGCATCACGATTGATTGAAATTCGCCACCAACAAGTGTACTGTAGCGCGTTATTTTTTCGAATACAAGCTATAAAGGGTTGATACTGTTATAATAGTGCCGAAGCACTGGCGCAGAATGCACCATGTACGTTTCGCGTAACGTTGCTGAAGCAATCTTGGTGTTATTCAACCTGCTGCCGCATTCAAAGGATTTCGCTTGGGAGGACTCAAAGTGCCCTCAATGAAAGTGTTCACATCACAATCATTCGACAAGTAGTGCTGTTAGGGTGAGTTCGTGCATGATAAAACGATATTGCTTTAGCGCAGCCAGGTTTGAGCGTCAAGGAAAAATACTGTGCAGTCAAGAAGAGGAAAAAACAGACGACAGTGTCAGACTGTCGTCTGGTTTTTCCCCTTCTTGGCTGCATAGTAGATAGTTTTAGCTTGTACGTATACTTCTTTACGTTAACGTGTTACCGGATACCGGTTCGCGTTTACCGTCTTACCGGAACGGATATCTTTCAGCGTGTTAGCTCCTCATACGTAAACGTTCACGTACGTACGTAAACGCGTATACCTTTACGTTTTCGCAAACCGTAAATGGCGATGCTAACTGCATATGAACTGCATTTAACTTACATATGATTGAATCATCATTGTGGTGAAATCACGAGACGTTCTTTTATTGCGCACGATATCCTCTTATGCGGAAAAGAGAGAAAAATACAAGGCTAATGCAACGATGGAGTGGGCATCTTGTGACACTTTGTGCAACCACAGTCATGAACACGTTGGCTTACGCGTAATATTTTTGAGGTGAAAATGATTAAAAAGGTAACTAATTTGTAACAGCGGCGCTGCGCGTTTTTTGCATCAGTTGTACAATGCACGATGTTTCTGCAATAACAATTTTGCGATTACCTGGTTCGCTATTGCTCCGCTAGATGGCGCCACCTATCCAGCTTCTCGAGAATTCGCACGTTTACGGAGTTTATGTCCTATACGATTTTAGCTTTGGTTATCCGGCTGAAGCAATGTAATAGACATTGGCGCTCGCACTTCAGCTACTTCTGCTTATAGCAACTCGATGATTCGAGTCCCCGCAATGCGGATACCACGAGTTTCTACGAACGAAGGTGGATTTGCGAGATTAGGCTGCAAAAGTAGTGTATATAACGGGAAACGTAAACTTTTAAACCCAATCCAGCGAGAAACGTAAAGGTTTACGTTCCGTAAAGACCAGCGCATGCACACATTCTATCTGGTATCCGGTAACACGGTAACGTAAAGAAGTATACGTACAAGCTAACACTCTCTAGTATCTTGCCTTCACGCTCTACCGGAGCTGCGCTAAAACAATATCATTTTATCACGATGATGCTTCGTGCGTAGACCCACAACGCCAGTTTTGTGCTCTTCACAACATTGTTGATGCCCAGCCTTGTTGTTAGCTCTACAAGTTGAAACCATGGTCAACTTTTGTCACAGCGAGTTCAGCGCAAGGATGATGCATATATGCCGCTTGGCTGAAATGGTAGGAATGCTTGCACAGTTATTTACTCACAAACAATGCGCAGCAAATATTTCAATACTGTTGCGCTCCATCCACTAATGCACGTTCTAATTAAACGCTAACTTACTGAAATGCAGACAGAAACACTTCAACGAACGATATAAAATGTTCATTTCTTTACACGCAACATTTATCTTAGCGAGCGATGCACCTCATACCCCTCACAGATGTCATTACTTTATCAAAAGAAATCGGCTGCCTCAACGGACTTTAAATAGGGCAACTCTTGTTCCACTGCCTTAGACTCCTCCAGCACCTTATTCTTGGCGGAGCATAGCTTAGGTCACTCATTGCGCCATTAAACCCAAACAAACAAACAAACAAATAAACAAACAAACAAACGATGGCTGACGCACGGGGTTCTGTTATTCTGTAGCAGGAAATTATTCCACATCTCAATCTGTGCGCGTGGCTCTTTAGTATGTGTGAACAAATAATTCAGACCTATGTTTTCATTCACCGGTTATTGCAGTAATAGGGCCTTCTACCAGAATTACTGTGAAGAACTGCGTCACAAGTGTGGACGGCGGCGTTACCAGCACTCAGGCCTGGATCTTGTGAGTCTGTAGAAGCACTGAAAACTGTGGCTCAATTACATACGAGGGACTCCCACGTATTCCGTTCCTATACTCTCATATTGCGGGCACTGGCAATGTGCATTATGTTGCTGTACTAAGAGTGTTTTTTTATGGTTTAATGAAACAGAATAAGTTTTACTTCAATTCGGCGCATCGCAAGTGCTTTTTCTTCTAGCAGAAATATTGTGCACCATAGATTTTAAAAAATATATAACGCATTAGTAGCAGAATATACCGATACACCTGACGGTAGGTGTAATGATGCTCCTCACCCACAAGTTTAAGAACTTTACTAAATATTGTTACGGGAGAATAACTTTACTTTATAAAACGAGGAATAAACTCGGTGGTGGACAAGATGGCGCCCAGTTGGCTCACAGATCTGACAACATCGTCCTCCTCTTTGTCTTCTTCGTCGTTCTCATCCTACCGTTACATGATTTCCCCGGCGGCTGGAGCACCGACCCGGTGCTAATCAGGAGGCACTGGAGTAATACGGTTTGAGTCGCGTAACATGCACTACGTCAGTGTGAGGGTGAAGGATGGCGGGGTCCGTAGGGGTGATTTCGTATGTGACGTCAGTTACTTGGCGTAAGATACGGTAGGGACCTGAATAGCGTGGGAGTAACTTCTCCGAAAGTCCAACGCGGCGCGAGGGGAACCATAACAGAACGAGATCTCCGGGTGTGAAGTGGACGTCACGATGGCGGGCGTCGTATACGCTCTTCTGATTGTCCTGGGAGTCCAGTAAGCGTCGTCGAGCAACTTGGCGTGCCGCTTGGGCCTTCATTATTGCATCACGAGCGTACTGAGACTTGTCATTTAGTCCGGCCGGCAGGAGGGTGTCGAAAGGTAGCGCAGGGTCACGGCCGAACAACAGAAAAAAAGGAGAGAACCCAGCGGTGTCGTGTCTGGAAGAATTGTACGCGAATGTTACAAACGGTAACGTAGTGTCCCAGTCGCGGTGATCGGCGGAGACATACATGGAGAGCATGTCGGTGAGAGTGCGATTGAGGCGCTCCGTTAGACCATTTGTTTGTGGATGGTAAGCAGTCGAGAGCTTGTGTTTAGTGGCGCAGGAGCGGAGGAGGTCATCAACCACTTTGGAAAGGAAGTAGCTGCCTCGGTCGGTAAGGAGTTGTCGAGGGGCGCCATGATGTAAGATGACGTCCTCCAAAAGGAAATCGGCCACGTCAGTTGCACAGCTGGTTGGAAGGGCCCGTGTGATCGCGTATCGGGTAGCATAATCGGTTGCTACTGCAATCCACCGATTACCCGCAGCTGACGTAGGAAAAGGGCCAAGCAGGTCCACGCCAACACGGTAGAATGGGTCTTGTGGGATGTGCAGTGGCTGAAGACGTCCGGCCGGAGGGGCATTTGGTTTTTTTCCGTCGTTGACAAGGGTCGCAGGCTGCAATATAACGGCAGACGTCGCGGTACATGCCAGGCCAGAAGAAGCGCCGGCGAACTCTGTCGTAGGTCCGTGACACGCCGAGGTGACCCGCTGTAGGTGCATCATGAAGCTGGGCGAGAACAGTGTGACGCAATTGAATGGGAACGACGAGTAGTCTTTCGGGGCCGTCAGGACGCATATTGCAACGGTACAATACACCATCATGTATTTCAAACATTCGAAGGGAAGGGTCGGGCCTCACCGATGTGAGCCTTCGGATAATACCGTCCAAGAAAGTATCTCGTCGCTGCTCGATTCCAATGTCATGAAACGCGGATAGAGAGAAAACGTCGATAGGAAGGGTGGTTTTAGAGGAGTCGCCGTCTGGAGGGTCGACAGGATACCGGGACAAGCAGTCCGCATCTTGATGCAGGCGGCCGGTTTTATACAGGACTGAGTAATCAAATTCTTGAAGGCGCAGCGCCCAACGGCCAAGACGGCCTGAAGGGTCTTTAAGGGAGGAAAGCCAGCACAAGGCGTGGTGATCTGTGATTACTGTGAATGGCCGGCCGTACAAATAGGGACGAAATTTACCGACTGCCCAAACAAGTGCCAAACATTCCCGTTCGGTTATTGAATATTTTCTTTCAGCAGGCGAAAGAAGACGGCTGGCATAAGCAACAACACGGTCTCGTCCTTGTTGTTTCTGGGCGAGGACTGCACCGATGCCATAGCCACTTGCGTCTGTACGAACTTCTGTTGGAGATGAAATATCAAAGTGGGCGAGGATAGGCGGAGACGTAAGCAGACACACTAGATTTTGAAACGCATCTGCTTGTTCAGGGCCCCAGATGAAGCCAGCGTCTTTTTTGAGAAGTTGAGTGAGAGGGCGTGCTACGTCGGCGAAGTTTTTAACAAAGCGGCGGAAGTAAGAACAGAGGCCAACGAAACTGCGAACGTCTTTGGTACAGGTTGGTACAGGGAAATCTCTTACTGCGCGTATTTTATCTTGATCAGGGCGAACCCCCACGGAATCAACGAGGTGTCCGAGGACAGAAATTTCACGACGGCCGAAGTGGCACTTTGCCGAATTGAGTTGCAGGCCCGCCTTACGAAAGACAGATAAGATTTTCGATAGCCTTTCAAGGTGCGTCGCAAAAGAAGGCGAAAAAACGATAACGTCGTCCAGGTAGCACAGGCAGATGGACCACTTGAAGCCGTGCAACAGAGCGTCCATCATACGTTCGAATGTGGCGGGCGCATTACATAAACCGAATGGCATCACTTTAAACTCGTAAAGGCCGTCGGGAGTGATAAACGCCGTCTTCTCACGGTCCATGTCATCAACGGCAATCTGCCAGTACCCAGAGCGGAGGTCAATGGAGGAAAAATATTTTGCGCCGTGAAGGCAATCCAGGGCATCGTCTATGCGTGGTAAAGGGTAGACGTCCTTCTTCGTTATTTTGTTTAAATGGCGATAATCGACGCAAAATCTCCAGCTGTTGTCCTTCTTCTTTACAAGTACAACAGGGGACGCCCAGGGACTGCATGAAGGCTCGATGATATTCCGAGAAAGCATTTTGTCGACCTCCTGTTGGATGATGCGCCGCTCTGCATGGGAAACACGGTAGGGTCTCCGATGGATGGGACTCGTATCGCCTGTATCAATCCGGTGCTTAACAACGGACGTCTGGCCGAGTGGGCGGTCGCCAAGGTCGAAGATGTCCCAAAAAGATGCAAGCAGGGAACGCAGGTCGTTAGCTTGTTCTTTTGGCAAGTCGGGGGCAATCATCTTGGTTAACACACTTTGGTCTGATGGAGGAGTAGACGAAGTTTTTTCGGCACTCGGGATGCTGTCATAACTTAGAGTGCAAATATGGCACTCTGCCGCGGGCACGATCTCGGCTAGAGATATACCACGAGGGAGGACTTGTGTACATAGTGAAAAATTCACTAAGGGTAGGCAGGATGCATTGGCCGTAATAGTGATGACGGTGTGAGGAAACGCAACGTTGTGCGAAAGCAGGACGTCAACATTGGGGGACACAATATAAACACCGTCTGGGACAGGTGGAACAGGGGAGACGCCTATGTAAGCTACTGTTCGTTGAGGGAGACGCAGGTGTTCTGTAGAACAAAGCCGACTTGGAGGGCAACTTGGAGGATCAACAACATTAGGTAGAGCGAGTTGCACTATACCGGCAGAGCAGTCTATCAAGGCCGAATGTTCAGACAAAAAGTCTTGGCCCAAAATTATGTCATTAGGGCAGTGTTCTAAAACATAAAACAGAACTGATGTGTGGTGTCCGGCGACGCTGACGCGAGCTGAGCACACACCAATTACGGCGACTTTTCCACCATCGGCCGTTCGGACCACAGGAGTTGGGCCAGGAGTAAGGACTTTCTTCAGCCGTGCTCTAAGGTCAGCGTTCATGATAGACACGTGTGCGCCAGTGTCAATGAGGGCTGTAGTAGGTACACCGTCGACGTCAACATTGATAAGGTTCTGATGTGCGGGCAAGGTCAATAGAGGATTTTGGCATCGGGTCGGTATTGCAGCATCACCTCCAAGAGCTGCTCCCGTCAGTTTTCCGGAGGTGAACGCCGGAACGAGCTTGGGGACGGCGATCGGCGAGATGGGGGCGAGCGGGAGAAACGGCGTTGTGGCGAAGGGGAGCGGCTGGATCGGGGGCGCGAGGAATTCTCAGGCGTTAGCGGCTCTGTTTTCGGTGATGAGCGTGAATTCCAGACAGGTGGGCGATGGGGCGGAGGGTGAGGCCACGGAGCAGAGCTGGACCAAGCACGGCAGTGACGCGAAATGTGGCCTATACGACCGCAATTGAAGCATATCGGCCGGTCGTCTGGGGTGCGCCATACCGCCGGGTCGCGATAATGTGGGCTGGCAGAAAAACGTCGGTTGGGCGGAACAGTCACGGGTGGATTTGGTGTGGCGTAGTCTGGACGATGAATGGAGCAGACGTTTAAGCCGGCGTTGGCCAGTTCTTGCCTCACGACGGTCTGTATGAGAGAGACGGTGGCGTGATAGCTTTCGGAGTTGGGGGAGGCTGACACGAGTGGAGCTGCGGCTTCTATTTCCCGACGGACAATACGGACAACGTCACCGGGACTTTCCGTAGAAGGCAGGCGAGGGTCTTCGCATGTGGATGTTGCAGCCGTGTTTGGAAGCCGGGCAAACTGGTGGAGAACACGGCGGCTCTTCGCTTCTTCAAAGCGCCGGCATTCAGAAATAATGTCGTGGACCGTAGATGAATTCTTGAACACAAGAAGGTGAAAGGCGTCATCTGCTATGCCCTTAATAATATGGCCAACCTTATCGGCTTCGGACATCTGCGAGTCTACCTTGCGGCACAAAGCGAGCACGTCCTGAATGTACGTGAGGTATGATTCGGTGCACGTCTGAACTCGACGTGCGAGCTCGTTTTGGGCGGCGCGTTGACTTCCCACAGGCCTGCCAAATAGCTCCCGGAGCTTTTGCTTGCATAACTCCCAGCTAGTCAGTTCTTCCTCGTGCGTCTCGTACCAGACCTTTGCGGTACCTCTGAGATAAAAAATCACGTTGGCCAGCATGAGCGTTGGATCCCATCGCATACGTACACCCACTCGTTCGTATGACTTCAGCCAGGCTTCTACGTCAATGCCATCAGTGCCAGAAAAGGTACCTGGATCTCTCGGAGGCTCCAAGATGAGGGTTGACGGTCCAGTTGGAGAAAGCACGGACGTAGTTGGAGAAGGCACGGTAGTCGGGGAAGGGTCGGCATTGTTGACTGCAGTCGCCATGGGGGAGACCACTAGGCGCCCGCTACGAAGCTCCGTTTTGCGTGAAGTGAGTACCCCGCACCTCCCACCAATGATGTTACGGGAGAATAACTTTACTTTATAAAACGAGGAATAAACTCGGTGGTGGACAAGATGGCGCCCAGTTGGCTCACAGATCTGACAACATCGTCCTCCTCTTTGTCTTCTTCGTCGTTCTCATCCTACCGTTACAATATATCTGAAATCAGTCTAGTGCATGTAACAGGGCTGTAGCCAGCAAGGTTGTGTGCGAGCATCCCCCTCAAATTTGGATGGAGGGGGTGTTTTGGCATAAAAAAACAATGCAAAGACGGGTTTTCACAGCTTTTACAGCTTCATAAAGTGACTCCCTCCCCCCCCCCCCCGAAAACTGCAGACTACGGGCCTGGTATGTAAAACATTTGGACTGATGTTTTATTGTTATAACGTTGCTCAATAAGTAGTACCTACGTGAGACCACCCCGGTTTTCCTATTATTGCTACGTAATGCTTCCACGTTACGAAGCAAGCAATTTTAACTTTTTCTTCTTCCGACGCTTTCTGACATACCTTTGCTTTCATGTTTAAACATCATCCAGCGTTGAATAGCGTGATGAGCATCGTTTCCCTTTAGAACGAAGATTGATTACGTTAATATAAGTTGCGAGGAAAAGTGCGTGAAAAAAAACAGAAACGAGAGAGCGAGGAATGACCAACAGAAGCGCGTGCTATCAACTGAAATGTAATTGAAAAAAGCGGCGAAAATTTCAGTTGTTGGTACGCGCCTGTGTTGTTCATTCCTCCGTTTGTCTACAGTTTTCACGCAGTTTCCCTTATAACAGATTACCAACTCACCGAACAGTCTGTTCTTCCAAGGTAGTATTAGTAGATATTTTTTGCAAGTTGTAGTTCATAATAATGTAAAAGACCAAGCTGTGCACTATTTGAAGCACCATTTACAATGCAACACAAGTGTTCTAAATGAAAGCGTACTTTCTCAATGTAGTCTTAGTTCGTTTAAACATGCCCTAATATTTTTGCAGAACATTTTTAGCCCTTCTTGTAACGGCAGTTGTTGCCGCAACAGCCTTCGAAGTACTCACGAATAAATGGGACATTAAGCGAAAGGATGGTACGTATTCAACATTCATCTTTCTCCAGAACTGCTCAAAATGTACTTTGCACTAATTTACGTTTCATTTGCACGTCTTAGTATAAGTTATATTGTAAATACCCTTAAAAAGGTGGTGGCTAACAATTGCACAGCATATAAAAAACACTGGGCAAAGTTCTAATCATAAAATGGAAAGCTTCGAATGGATACGTCTTAATATGCATAATCACGCAATTTACACAAATATTTGGTAATTTATTATTACAGCACCAACAATGGATAGATCAGCAGCTAAAACTTAAAATATAGTACTATGGCACATCAGCTATGCTAAAGATATTTTATTATTGCCTCGCCAGATGGTACATAAAGGACGCTGATTCATTACGATAACTTGTGAGCTGCCAGACGCCTCAAATAAAATGCTAGAACCTTCACTATTGCTATGTAATCGTACCAGGTATCAAACTGTTCACTGGGTACACAGCACTTAGGATTGCGAAGACGACGAAAAGGACAGGCAAAAACTGGAGCACAACTTTTTATCGAGCGCAGCGTAGCCTGCGAGCACAGTTGTCAATGCAACTGCTTCTCGATAGAGTCCACGCTATGCCTGTTTTTCTGACAACAATATAATGATGTCATAGTATATAGTTAATGATTGAACTGGAAATGAACGCAAAAATAAATGAAAAAGAAACAATAAATTTACATACCATAAGACACCACTCTTTTGTTTGCGATGCATCGTACTTTACAAAAAAAGATCACGTGCTGCGCATTAGGCCACGTGCCCACTAGCCCAAGCTCCCATCATTGATAGCTTACGACGGGCAGTGGATGCGCGGATAGTAAGTAATGAAGAACTCAGGATGATTACTCTCACAGAAAAGTAGCATAAAAGGAATACATGTTTTTGTTTTGCTTACAATTATTACCACCGTATTCAACATAGAGAAAAAGAGCTCTGTTTTGCACGACATGTATAGTAATATTCGCCGTTAAACGTAGCAGCGATTATTGGACTGTGATTTTCACGAAGCATCTTTTTACCTTACATCGTTAGGCAGCAGAAGTTTCATGCTCACTTTTAAAGGGTGCCATTGTGGAATCGCCCCATTCGCTACATGTATTGAGGGCAAGCGCGAGTGTCACCTATGTGCTATCTGTTGATCAGAGCACCTCCACCATCTATATATTCTATACCGGTCAATTATCTACACGTGATAGAGACCGCTTTGTTTTTTTGCCGGACTTGTCCGCGACCATCCGGTGTAAGACCAGCCTTTACAGAATGACACACGATACTTTCATAGTCTTCGTACTTGTTCAGCATACCTTGGAGTTTTGCCGATGCAGGGACTTCAAGAAATATTGCTGGCAAGAGTGAACGAAAAGAGAGAGGGAACGAAAGTTGTGATTCCCACTTCAATGCGCAAACAAATGCTAGAGTGCCTCCTCCGTGGTCACCTTGGCATTGCCAAGTGCAAAATTCGATCACGGCAGCTCATGTACTGGCCTAGAATAAACGATGACATAACTGATATGATAGAGCGGTGTCTTTCCTCTCAGTTGCATGCGTAAAGACAAGCCGAGAAACCATTGCTTTTGCGGGATACACTTGATCATCGATGTGACCGAGTGGGAGCAGACTTATTTGAATATGCCGGAAGACATTACATCATTGTGTATGACTCCTACTCAAGGCTCCCGGACTTTAGAGAGCTCCAAGAAACAACTGCAAGAGCAGTAATCAAAAAGTTATCGTGTATCTTTGCTCGATACGGCATACCCAAACAGTTTTACATGAACGGAGGGCCGTAATTGACCGCGAAGGAGTTCAAACATTTTTCTGAACTATTTGACTTTGAACATGTTATTTCCAGTCGCTATTTTCCTATTACAAATGGCCTCGCAGAGAAAGGAGTCCAAGTCATGAAAAGGTTGTTAAACAAAGCAGGTGCAGCAAGCGACTTCTGGCTGGGGCTATTAAACCACAGAACATCACCACTCGAAGACGGCAGGTCCCCAGCAGAGCTGTTGATGCACCACGACCTGAGTTTCAATAATCTGCAGAGTCGTAGCCCGTTAAAAATAAACAAAGCATGCAAAAAGGGCACGCGGCTACCGCTACTTCAACAAGGAGACATTGTCAGAGTTATGGACTATAACTCTTGGCGCTTGAAAGCGAAGGTGCTTGGCGCTGAAAGCGAAGGACAGTGTGTCCACGGTCGTACTTGGTTCACCCTGAAGAAGCAAGACTGCTGCGAAGTAACCACCGAGACCTCAGCCGAACAGCTGAACCTTTCAATGCGCAGAAGACGTCCCTGGTGCATTTTTCATCTGAAAGCACTGCGACAACTGAGTGCTCACCAGAAAGCAGTGCCACCTTGTCAAGGGCGCCATCAGGAAGCAGCGAAACACCTCTCCTCGTGCGAGCGGAAAACAGTGACACATCTGTGCGCGTGACTGGGGAAGGATATGATACTAGTGGAGGTTCGCCTTTTGAATACAACGGCTCATCTCGCAGAAAGGAGGAAATGGCTCCAGCCACGCTTTCTGGACAGCCTCAGTCTCCGGACGGGCAGGCTGTCCGCGGCCCTTCAAGCCCCATGGTCCGCAGGTCAACTAGGGAGGGATGACAGCCTTGCCGTCTGAACTACAATGAACAATTTCGACAAACCAATTAACCTGTTAAAGCCTATGTTTTGTTTAATTGTAAATCACAATGCTTTTGTTTGTATAAAAAACAGCATGTAACATATGTATCAAAGGAAGTGGGCAAGATTATACGTGCAACGACGGTATAATAGCATGCCGCTGATAATAAACGTCACTGGTTGCCAAGACACCAACGCACGTGTGCAATCAATCTGATACACCGGACTTGTCCGAGACAATCCGGCGTAAGACCAGCCTTTACAGAATGATACATGATACTTTCGTAGTCTTCTTACTTGATCTACAAACCTTGAAGTTTGCCTATGCTGGGGCTTGAAGAAATATTGCTGGGAAGAGCGGCTCTACGCTGCAGCACGCGTTCCCTAACAACTATCACACCTGGAGCATATTTGCGCATTGAAGCTACATCTTGCATGATGTACCACCACCACTATACTGGGCCATTGCGGTTTCCCTGTTTTTTACGGCAAAATAATGACTGAACCGCCCCGAGAACATTCAATTTAACCCTATCAGAAGAAGCTTCACGTGCCTTATAAATAGTCATGCTTTTGCCACAAGTAGGGAAGGATGAATGAGACATCAACGAACCTGAATGTGACACGAAAGAAGTTAAAGAGCTCGACTTTTGCTGTGCGCTGCTCAAGCAAAACGAATGCTGGAAAAGAACACACAGAGTGAGCGTGAAGTGATGACTGTCACCAAGCGACACCTGCAGCGCACTCGTCAAACACCAAGGAGGCTCGCAAAGAACGCACAGGGCACACAAAACGAGTGCGAAGTAACAACTGTCACAGTTGTTACTTTGAGCAGCGTTCCGTAAGTGTCGACCACACACAACAAACTAGCTCCTACATTGGCTCTTCAAGGTAGCAGGTCACTCCTTTCGCAAACGTCACCACAGCAGCGAGCGAAGTCACCTTCGTGCAGCCTATGGCTTCAGCGCAAAGTTTGAGGTGATAGCAGAAGACCCCTCACGAGATAAGTGCTCGAGCACGAGCGACCACAGTGTTTAGTGAAAAGTGTAGATCAGATGCGCGCAGTGCTCATTCCAACTTTCTCAAAACACGAGCAAGTGGTACCGTTAGAGCGGGGTTTTCATGCCATCTCGCTGGTACTGGGAACGCGCGCAAGCACATTTACCGCTAGTGGTAAAAGTTGAGTGTAAATAGCTCGTTGATTGTGCGCTGGAGGACGTATGTTGCGTGGGCAAGCTGTCTTAATGCAGTGCGCTGCGGAACGAGTGCGCTGCCGCACGTTCGAGTCCCCCCCCGGTGGCACAAGTAAAAAACTTTTGTGAATAATTTTGCTTTTTGGCCTATATATTAATGCATTAGCATATGAAGAACAAGACGGCGAAGGCAAAAATCGCGCCTAGAGTGTCCGTGCAGTTTTTATCGCAATAAAACGCGTTTATCACAGTGGGCTTGCTAAGAAAGCTACCATTTAAATAATAACAAAAGCCAGCAGATAAGGAAATAAATGGAACAATAGAGATGTTATTTGTACTCTTTTAAGCGTGTTCTAATATTCTAAATATATATGTTGGTGAAGTAAGGTGTGAGCAAAGACAAATATGGCAGACAAAGACCGAACCTGCGACCATCTGATGGCGCGCCCGATGCTCCACTAACTCATCTGCGGCCGCAGTCGTTCTTCGTGCACGTTTGTATATCCCCTCGAGCACTTAAAATTCGCACTGTTAGCGTTGCCTGCAGTCAAGACAGTGAGGGCTCCTTTTCGTGACCCGCTTTATTTCATTAAACCCATAACACAAATGTTATGGTACAATTAAAGTTTCTCACAATTTCTTGGACTTTGCCGGTTTTCAGTGAGGTGGTGTCGGTAAAGGAAGCAAATCATGAAAAAAGAGTTCCCTTACTTGAATCATTGACTCATGTTACCCTGTAGCCAACCAAACGTAGTTCATTTCTGGCGAAGATAATCTCTGCTTGTGTTTATTGAATTGTAGTTTCATAAGGTTCAGCGTATGACTAACGAATTTGAGCTTTGAATTGCTTTCTTCTTTTGTCTTGCATAATTATTATGGCCCTCATGTTTCAGCAATTATGCATTTCAAATAGGAATGAGCGTGGTGGCCGTTTTGATAGTTGTACTACTATTGTGTTCTGACTTTTATGCTTTCTTTTTTTTCTGCAGCAGTGCCCTACAAATGCATTGTAGCATTCTCCGTACTGACAAACACTAGGATAATCCTGAAGGTCAACGAGGACAAGTGTTCCGATAGCTACGCTTTTCGCTTTGTCCATGGCATCCGGTTTTTGAGCATTTTCTGGATTTGCCTGGGGCATTCCTACGCAATCATCACTGAAAATATAAGTGAGAAAACCTAATTCCTGTTTCCAACCCGTCAAGAGGCGGGAAGTTACAATTTTTCGTGGAGTCTTGGGCACATGTGCATAAATAAGCTGCAATAAAATATGGCACAAAGCGAGGGGACAGTTACTTTTGAATTTCACGAAACCATTATGTAGCTATGAAACCGGATTGATTGATTGATATGTGGGGTTTAACGTCCCAAAGCCACCATATGATAATGAAAGACGCCGTAGTTAAGTGCTCCGGAAATTTCGACCACCTGGGGTTCTTTAACATGCACCCAAATCTAAGCACGCAGGCCTACAGCATTTCCGCCTCTATCGGAAATGAGCTAAAAAAACCTGAACGCTGGATAACACCTTAATACTTGCCCGCCCAGCCACCCTTTTCAGTCAGTGGTATATAGCTCGTCTATTTCTCCCCCTCCTGCATGAACGCTCTTGAATACGATCGGATTAAAAGCCACAAAATCGATCGTGTTGATGAGACAGAGTGGCGTAATCCAGCAGATAATAAACGTGAATTTGCACGTTTTTAGCACTATGTCTTTCACAGTTCTATAAGGGATAGGTGGCGTAACTATCAATGTTGACTTTCAAATTTTGTGCGCGAATGCGGAAATTTACTAGTTATGTAAATTCAGCACAATTTCACCGCATTATGATGAGAGAAAATTTTGCCGATTCAACGCAAAAAATAATGCGCCTATATACAGCCAAATGAACCTAAGCAAGATTGAAGAATGTAAGTAGTGAAAAACATTATCTGCTTTTATTATGTTTTTAACTGTATTGTACTAACTACGGTATCAAAAAGGCTAGACGAAACAAAAAAAATTTCCGTCGGTTAATCACAAACCCGCAACGTTATATCACAGCACATTCACGCTTGTATACGCACCACGTACCTAAGACGGTCACGTCCGAATATTTGGTACCCAAAGTGTCAGTTGGAGCACTTCTCACCAATGCAGTCTTAATTTGTTTTCATTGTGTTCTTACATTTTTGCCTGCAAATAAGTAATTGTGAAATATACGCCCAAGCAAATGCATTGGACATTGATAGCTGAAGGTGAATTATTTTTATTCTGTTTTTCAGCAAGGCTACTAAACGCTCTGCACTATTTCGAGCGTTGGGAAACGATGATTGTAACAGCTGGCTATCAAGGGGTGGACAGTTTCTTCTTTTTCAGGTGAGCGGAATGTCATGCTGATTAATGGTCAGCAGGGAAAAAATGCCCCATTGCTAGGCTTCTTTTCTCAAAGCTTTGTTAACAAGTGCGATCGGCGCAAGAACGCTACACGAAAATAAATAATTACAAGGAAATTCTCACTGATATCACTTTTGTCTCCTTTTCTGCCAATGTGGATGAAATTCTTGTAGCTATTTACAAGCCATGAAACACTGAATTTCCCTCTGCTAGAACAGCACCGTATCATTGGCTAGTTTGACTTTTCATATGGTCATTCAGCCGAAATTCCTAATTTCGCTGTCTTTTCACGCAGCGGATTTCTGCTCTACTTTGTGCTCCGGAAACAAAAACACGATCAACTAGTCGTTGCTATAGTCGCAATTTTACGACGCTTTATTAGGTAAGTAGGACAACCACGATCTTTCCCATATACTGATTAACCGCCGAATCATACGAAATATACTTTTAACTGATTGCCTTTTCAGTTACAGTTTGTAGCCTGGGGCATCACCAATAGTGTTCAATAATTTACGTGCCGTTTTTGTTTTCTGTGAAAAGGCTGTCTGTTTTCTTGTCGGAACAGAATTTCGAGCCATTCATTTGCACTGGGGTCACTGATTCGTGTAACATGCAGTGTTTGCACACTTCGTTTTCAGGAGGTAAATGAAAGCACGAGGTTCTACTAAACAATGATATGGCTTTAACTTTGGTGGTTGTGACCCGTAACGGTGGTGTAGGGGCCGAGATGGCCAACTGCTGACTCGAATGTCGCGGAATCGAATTGAGGCTAGGAAGGCTGTATTTTCAATTGAGCCGGAAAAGCTAGCCCCCTGCGGACAGCTTTCGTTGCACGTTATAGAGCCAGCGGTTGTCGAAATTTCCGGAGCCTTGCATTGTGATTGACTTGAATGATTGATATGTGGAGTTTAACGTCCCGAAACCACTATATGATTAACAGAAACGGCGTAGTGGAGGGAGCCTAAAATTTCGGCCAGCTGGGGTTCTTTAACGTGCATCCAAATCTAAGCACATAGGCCTACAGCGTTTTCCCTTCCATTGAAAGTGGAGCCCCGTCAGCCGGGATTTCATTCCGTGACGTGCGAGTTAGCAGCCGACTAACTTAACCACTAGACCACCACGGCGGGATACCAAGCACTATGCTGTCCGACCTAATAACATCTTGGTTTTGAGATGTTAAACCGAATAAATATTGTTCTCATTTCCGAAGTGTGGTACATGGGCTGAGCACAGCAATAGTTAAACAAACATATTGATTGGCCTGAGGGCTCTATTATTTTCGAGACATATTATACAGAAGTGAACAGGGGAAAAATGAAGCGCTTGTTTTTTTGTTCGTCAATTATGAGAAATAAGAGACAATGATTCCAAGTGAAGTATAGCAGATGCTATCAGTAGCAAGGGTAACTAAATGTGAAGAAGAAAAGCGGGACGAACTGATCACTTGCCGTCGGCAGGGACAAAACCTGCACCCTTCGATTAACCCGTCGCCCCACCGCGGTGGTCTAGTGGCTAAGGTAATCTGCTGCTGGCCTGCAGGTCGTGGGATCGAATCCCGGTGGCGGTGGCTGCATTTCTGATGGAGGCGGTAATGTTGTAGACCCGTGTGCTCAGATGTGCGTGCACGTTAAAAAACTCAGGTAGTCGAAATTTCCGGAACCCTCCACTACGGCATCTCTCATAATCATATTGTTACGTTTGAAAGAGACTGGCAGACGTTGAAAAGGGCCGTTTATTAGGTCGTGAGGGGCAGCTCAGAAGCGGCCGACCGGTAAAGGTGTTTCATGTACGCAACAATATGGTATTTTTGGCACGTTCAACTCCACATATCAATCAATAGATTAACACGTCCGATGCTCAACAAACTGAGCTAGAGCGGTGGACATCTTTTGTTCACCTTACAGGGTATATATTGCCACGTTACTTTCCTCAAGTTTTGTTATCACCCCGTAACAATACGTTCAGCGCAAACCACGCGTACGATGTTTTAAAAGCTTTGAGGCTAATGATGATATGTGGGGTTTAACGTCCCAAAACCACCATATGATTATGAGAGACGCCGTAGTGGAGGGCTTCGGAAATTTTGACCACCTGGGGTTTTTTAACGTGCGCCCAAATCTGAGCACACGGGCCTACACCAATTCCGCCTCCATCGGAAATGCAGCCGTCGCAGCTGGGATTAGAACCCGTGACCAGTAGGTCAAGCTGCAAGGCTGTAGTAGATCGTTTTGTTAAGATTACGCTAACCTCGTGAACATTACAGATTATTCTGGAACATCTGGCGCCGCTAGCGACTACGCTAGAACATTCCATGGCAAGTGTATAAATGCCGACGCGCTTCGCTGCTTGTAAGTTTATCGCCAGCCGACGCTGTGTTTGCTGCCATCAGTGCCCATGTGTTACTGCAACCTGAACTTTAGCTTTCTGGCCACAAGTTTGGCTGAATAACCTGTTTCATCTGAACATCAGGTGCCCCGCCGCGGTGGTCTAGTGGCTAAGGTACTCGGCTGCTGACCCGCAGGGCGCGGGTTCGAATCCCGGCTGCGGCGGCTGCATTTCCGATGGAGGCGGAAATGTTGTAGGCCCGTGTGCTCAGATTTGGGTGCACGTTAAAGAACCCCAGGTGGTCAAAATTTCCGGAGCCCTCCACTACGGCGTCTCTCATAATCATATAGTGGTTTTGGGACGTTAAACCCCACATATCAATCAATCACTATTACAAAGAACACACAACACAAGCGCTTAACTTCAACTAAACATTGATTGCAAACGTCAGAGTTTGTAAAGGTGGTGAAAAGAGAAAAAGAATGAAAAATGGTAGACAACAAAAAGCACACCTGCCAGTCCCGTACATTACTTTCCGTTATTGCCTATCACCCCATCCAAAAACATAGTTCTTTCCGCGTGAGCGAGATAGAGGGTGCACTAACACAATCAAAATCATCGTAAGTCATTTTAGCCGCTTCTACTATCAAACGGGTTAACAAATCTCTGTCCCGATATAGCGCGCACGTGTTATCGAAATAAGGCACACAACCACACTCCTTACCGTGGATCGCCAAGTGACCATCTGACCAATTTATGTGAGAACAACTGAAAGATGAGTTAATGAAAGGCTAAAAGAGCACCACAATAAAGTGCAGAAGGGTACCGATGGTCACTTGGCGATCCAATGTAAGGAGTGCGGTTACGTGCCTTATTTCGATAACACGTGCGTGCTGTATCGCGACAGATAATTGTTAACCCGTTTGATAGCAGAACCGGTTGAAATGACACGCGATGATTTTGATTGTGTTATTGCACCCTCTATCTCGCTCACGCGGAAAGAACTACGTTTTTTTTGGATGGGGTGATAGACAATAACAGATAGTAATGTACGGGACTGGCACGTGTGCTTTTTGTTGTCTACCATTTTTTATTCTTTTCCTTTTTTCACCCCGTTTATAAATTTTGACGTTTGCAATAAACGTTTAGTTGAAGTTAAGCGCTTGTGTTGTGTGATCTTTGTAATAGTGGCTGCGCTTCCTAGCAAGATGGATACTTACCAAATGGCCCGATACAATTGTTTTTTAACTTCAGTTCTGTTTGTCGCTTACTCAGGAGGGATGGAATCTGCACCTGCTAATAGGTTTTGCAGATTTGATAAACACGCACAACTGCTACCTGTAACGATCGCCACTGCTATAATGGCAACAGTGCTACGCTGTTATTTACAACCGACAGGGTAAAAAAAAACAACTCAGTGAACTGAGGAGCAGGTAGACTTTAGCGGCGGTTCCTGCGAAGTTTAGTACCGTTTCTCACTGTTTCCAAAGGCGATATTGGTTGAGGCTTTATGACGATTCTTTGCTCATTCGATAGATACGCCCACAGAATCAATTTTGATGTTTTTCGCACAACCTACAGTGCAGTCGGCCAGCGTGATCGCTGTTGCTCTTGTAGTTCGAAAGAACTACATAACGACTTGGCCAAAACGAATGAAGTGCGCCAGAAACATTATGCTATCATATTGGTTCAGTAAGCATACGAATCGACGTGTCTTTGTTCTCGCTTAAGGGCCACTGAAGTGCCGGCGAGTGCGACCGGCGGCTGTCGGTGAGGGGAGGCGTACATTTGGTGGAAGTGCTGCAAGTGCATTGCATCAATATTTGTCGGTTCTTGCGCAGACACCACACGAAATAAAAAAAGGCTTCATGTAGGGTAAATTATGCATCAGCTGTGCTGTATTGTTATTTTTACTCGTCATAATTTTATATTCTCAAACCCCGAAGCGCCGATAACACTTGTACGGGCTCGGTTGGTATAACTAACCTTTGGTGGAAATTATGGTGGTAGAACAGAAGGGTGAAAGTCAAATTCACTGGGGCTCCTCTCGACGCATGTCCAAAGTAAAAGTTTACGTATATTCGCACGCACTTTGTGACCTTAAAGGTACGGCTTTAACAATAGAGTGTGCAAGAATTACCAGAGTGGCATTTCTAGCGTGGTGACATCAAGTGACCGCTGAGTTTTGCTCTAATATTGAAAGGGGCAATTGCGAACTGGAGCCCATATATTTGTCGACAACTGTGCGCCAATGTATAATATTTATTGTCATGTTCACAGTGACACCTGTTGTTTTATAAACACCACAACAAAGAAACACATCGCGGATGTCAAACTGATGTAAGTGCTTGTGTGAAATGTAAACATATTCCCGGCCACTTATTCTATGCTCCAAGAAAATTGAAGCGATGTTGACACCACAGGAATAAAAAAACAAACGTGCTAGACAGCATAATGAGCAGCGTTGGTTTCTTTTGACCGTAAACATATATATCTGCGCATACAAGAACGAAACACTACAAATAAGTGATTTTACATACTGTCATGTGCTCTTTCATCATTTCGCCATCATCCACCAGGCTTCCATCATGCCACCATCATCCACCTTGCTCTCCAAGCCTTCCACCAAACACGTTTTGCCTCGCCACCATGAGCAGGCATTTTCCACCGTCACCACTATTGGCTCGCAACCACCACCACCAACACCATCTGCCACCATTTTTTCCACGCTAGTCATTATCAGCCGGTATTTTTCACTGTCACCACCATTAGCTCGCCACCACCATCACCATCTGCCATCGTCGTTTTCACTCTCGCCGTGATCAGTCATTATGCCTACTACCATTTCCACCATATCCACTAATATTTCCACCATATTCACTATTCTTTTACACTATATCCACCAACAATTCCAGCATCCACCAACGCAGGATTTTCAATAGGGGTGTAAGGCCAATATTTCGAATGTATTTATTTTTTTATTTACTTATTTATTTATTTACGCATACTGCGATCCAACATGGGCTATGGCAAGATTTTGCTCTAAAAGGCCGCCGA